GTCGTTGTCATCTATTGACAGTACTAATTTAATGCTATCCATCCGCACAAAATAAATTTTAAATTTTTTTTATTTTGATATTACAAAACAAAAAAATACCGAACACTAGAGTCTTATCAATTGAAATGTATCTAATATAGTTGAGAAAATCGACCTTCTTGTATTTTTTGCATAAACCGACACACATGAAAGCAGATGATGTCAAAATAAATCGCTAGTCATAACATAGGATTTTAAGTTTAATTCGTTTCTCTTTTTCTATTTTCACCTTAATTCATAAATAAAAACCATGACTTCCAAAACGGAGCATAAAAAGTTTCAATACAATTTAAAATATCATCTAAATAACTACATACAGTTTTACAAAAATGTGTTAAATATTATACAATATTTATGTACTTAATTAAACATTGTTTGTTTTTTAAATTTGCTTGTAAAAATCTTTGTTACAAAAAATATTATTTTTGTATTTAAAATTTTTGAAATAAGTCATAAATACGAGTAATAATAATAAAAAAAAAGTTCTAAAAGATAAAAGATTTTCTAAAACTAATTTATTGTCCTTGGCTTTGTTTCCTCGCATTTCCTCGTTGTTTTAAGAAATATTTTAAAATATTTTACTAATCTCAAAATTATTCTTAGAAGAACATATTTTTCTGAAAAATGTATTAATTTGGGAGTTAATAATCCCGGCAAATATTTTTAATGCATGTCTACAAAATACAGTCTCAATTTTTTCGCGGCACACTCTGCTTTTCTTTTACGTTCTCACTGCATATTTAATATATTTTAGAATAGTGTGCAATGTCAAGAGCTTTTAATATACATTTTCAAATATGACACATTGTAAATTGTAACCCTTTGACTGCGTTTTGGAAGTCAAAGAAACTGTAAAAATTATTATGTTATCAGAACTTTATATGTATAACAAAACAATGGAACTCCGTATCACTCCACTTCACTTTGAACTTTTTAAATATTTAAAATTTAGATGTCTTATTTAAACTTATTTTATTTATTTAATTTATTCATTTATTTGGTTTTATTAGTGTATTTAACTGTAAAATTCATATAAAAACTTTTATTTTACTTTATAATACTATATGAAATGTATAAATAGCATTACTGACAAAATATAAATATATACATATGTATAGTATTATTCAATTAAATTTATTTTATATATAGTTATTTTTTATAGTACATAGAAAATATTTTTAGTATTTTTCTTTTCATTTAATTAAGGTATTTTAATTATTGAAATTATTATTAAATTAATTATTATTTTTAAACGATTTCTTTTTCTTTTGTTGAGTATAAAAATAAATTTTTAATATATGTATTTATACGTACATTGTACATTAAAAGCTATATATTAGGTAGGTATATATATGTATATCATGCATTTACAATAATTTTGAATTTATTTCATATAACATATATTCATATAACATTTTAACTAATTTTTTTTTTTGTATTAATATAATAACTTATTTACATATTATTATAATTCATAAATATATATTTATTATATTATTATGATTTCTTAAAAAGCTATATCTACATACATATATATATTCTTTTGTTTTATAACTTTTATATTCATAATCCTACATACATATATATTTTTTATATGCCTACCATGTTTGAATGCAGTATAATAGTTTATATTTTGTTGATACTATGGGTTGTATCACTATTTTTTTTATTGTATGAACACCTACATTTTGAGTACTAAGAATATAATTTGTGTATATATAGAAAAATTATCTATTATATTTGTATATAATTCATATGTATGTATATGCATGTAATAATGCAACCTTAACTTCAATTGTACAGAATATATGCGTTTTAACTGCAACACTTCCTTTTTTGGCTGCAATCTTAATGTATTGTTGCTTGACTTACGAAGTGCAGTGATACGGTATTAATACACAATCCAGTTTATAAATGTGAATTACTGAATTGTGTAGTAGTACCGTATTATTGCATTTCGGAAGTCAACGATTGTAATATGCGGACACGACAAAAAAATTATATTGTTATACAGTTCTCCAGAAAAAATTCTGTTTTGTACTGATTTTTTTACTTTTGTATATTTAAGTTACTGTGACATCAGAGCTGTGCCAATGCAAAAAATTAACATGTATAAATTTTTGTCTACGCTCAAAATACTCGTTATTTGCACATTTTATACGCATAATGAACAACATTGAACTTTGGACTTTGCAGATTTTTGTGCTTATAATATGTGTATGTTGAACTGTAGACTTTGTTGTATTGTGATATACCTGCACAATTGAAGTCACTTTGACCGTTTTTAAAATAATTTGTTTTGTTATATAAATTATTCTTTTTAATTTTAATTTTATATTGTTTTTATGAATTTTCTGTCTCTATATTTTAAAATAAAAATGAAAATACCCAGGCGTTAAAGAATATAACAATAGTTTTTTTAGATATGATTGCAACAATTAATAATTTTTTATAAAAATTAATTAATTAATTTTATTTATATAATATAGCGTCGTAGTTTTTCTTCCTTTGTTCAAATATAAATAATAAACAATTAGTTTTATAAATATGTATTTGTATATATTGTAAATACGTATGAATATTATAATTAGTTTTTTTTGTTTTTATATAAAGCAACATTATATAACCTATGATTTATTGTCAATTTTATTTTAATTTCCTTGCTTTGTGTTTTAGTTTTCTAAATTTCATGAAATATAATTGATTTTTCTTTTCTTTTCTTATATTTTACTATAATAATTAAAATATTTAATATTTTTATTATATTTTTAGATTGTGTATTGTCTTAATAATTTTTATTTTTATTTATTTTCATTTCTTAATATTGTTTTAGTTTTCTATTTTTAATAATAAATTGTACAAATTTACAAAATAATAAAGGGTTGTTTTAAGAAATCAGTTTTTATTCTACTTACATATATGTACATATACATTTTATATATGTATGTACTTTTTTTTTGGTTTCTAATTTTCTATAATTTAATTTTTGATTTAACTCTAAAGTTTCATTAATATTTTTTAAACTTTAAAAGGTAAATATATTTAATTTGTTATTTATTTTTTGTGTAAAAAAATTATTATAAAGTACGTATATAGTTTAGATATACTTTTCTAAATAATTTTATATTTTCTTATTTATATTATTTTAAATTATGTATGTATATTGTCATTTTGTAATTTTAAAAATTCCATTCCAAAATTTTGATTTTTTAAATTTTAAACTTTCATTTATATTATTCCTGATACAAATATATGCATATATATACATGTCGACGGTTCCGCATACAACTATTATATTTAGGTTTCGAGGAGAGCAAATAAACTTAGCTTTTTGTTATAAACAAAAATATCGTTAAGAAATAAGAGGCAAAACATTTATAAAAATTCTTAATAGATTTTATAATATTTTTCTTAATAGATTTTATAAATTTTTTTTATTCCAATTATAAACTATTTAGAATTAGAATTTTCTTCTTATAATAAACAAAATATGGCAATTTTTACTGTAAGTTTATATTTACAATAAAGAACATTCCTGTACTGCGTGTGAAACTAATTCTAATTTGTATGAATTTGCAACATTTGTTATAAATTGCTTATTACCATTTTGTAAAATATTATGGAAAGCAATGTTTTCAAATAGGAGAAAAGTTGGAACAAACGCATGAAAATATCGCAATTTTTATAAAAACTTAATGTTTTTAATAGATTATTATTGCAATCTTAGTTAAATTATAATTTTTTTCACGCATTGTAAATGTAAGCTAGAGAATATTAAAAGTTTTACTAAATATGTAAATCACTTTAAAATAATATATAAATTTGTGTAAAAAATTTAAAAGTACATGGTTTAGAGCAAGGAAAAATTTTTTTGTAAGTCTATACTTACAGAATAGTTTTTTTTGGAACCGCTGAAATTTATTTGTAATGTATATATTTCATTTAATCTTCTCTCTCTTATGTATTATGTAATTCTGTGCTAAATTGACATAATATTGATTGACAAATGTTAGATCAAAGGTAGACATTTTTTTTTTTAATAATTTCAATTACTTATGTTTAATTATTGTATATAATTAACATATTTTTGCATTTCACATAATTATTATTTATGTATATGTAACTATCAAACGTCATCATAGCTATATTTTATTGAAACATTCATGTTTATAATTTAATTTTTTCTTAACTGTATATCATTAGTACGTAACATTCATATAAGTACATTGATTTATGTATATACGTAATATATGTAAAGATATACATACATAATATATATACATAAATAATATATATATATATATATATATATATATATATATATATTGTTTTTTATATAAAATTCCAGCTAGTATATTTCCAAAGAACTGAAAACTAGAACATATTTAAGATTTTTTTTCATTCTATTTTCTTACTAGCTAATAAAATATTTTTTATACTTTATTTTTTTCGTTTAATGCTAAATATAATATTAAAATATTTTCAAAAAATTTTCTTTTATAGTGATATTTTCATTTCTTTTTGGGTTTTAAATCCTCCGTATAAAATTTATTGTTCACAATTTTTTTATTTATTGTGTTATTTTATAACACATTTTGTTTTATTGTCTTTTTTCGTACTTTATTTCAAAAATACAGAATAACATTTTATTGTCAAATATCAATAATTAAATTAGAAAAATAAAAACATGTAATATAAAATTTTTAGACTAAAAAAAGTGTTGTGCATAACTTGTTCTATAAGTTATTCACATACATATGTATATATAGATTATATAATATTTTGATTTTTTTACATTATTTGTCATTATTATAGATCATTTTGTATCAAATCAAAAATTGTAAATTTAATTTATAAAATAAATTTTCTATTTTTTTTTTTTTGCTTTACTATAGTTTTTTAATATTTTTCTTATTTCATAAAATAATTGTAAAATAAAATTCATAATATGTTCTTAAAAACTAGTTATACTCAGATTCCATATCATTATTACTTCTTCTAGCATTATTATTATTGTTATTATTATTGTCATTGTTGTAAATTGTACTGTTAGAAGAATACTTTGTGTTTCCATTATTATAATTATTACTATTACCATTTTTAATATAAATATTATTTTTATTATAATTATTACTATTATTATTATTAAGGAATTTATTACTACCATTATTGTTATTATTGCTGTTATAATTTATATTAATGTTATTATTATTATTCTTTCTATTTCCACTATTAATATTTTTGTAATTATTATTATTATCATTTATATTATTATCGTTATGATTAGAGATATTTCTATTATTATAATACTTATTATCATTATTATTGTAACTGTTGGTATTCTTATTATTATTATTATTGAAATTATTACTATTATTTTTATTATTCATAAAATTTTTATTATTACTATTGTTATAATAACCATTATTGTTATTGTAATTTTTGTCATTCCTGCTACTATTATTATTGTTATTGCTATTATTATTATTATTATTTTGCCTGTATTTATTGTCATTTTGTTGTTGCTGCCTCCTATGTGGATATTTATTTCCATTATGGTTATAATTAAATGTATCACTTGAAGATCTTTTTGTATATTTAGCTATTTCACTTCTAATCCATGGTATATATTTTGGAACATTTGCATAAACTCCAGGTAATTTAGGATGTGCACACATTATGCCCCATGAAACAATACCTCCAACAAACCATTTATCACGTTCTCCAGGATACGGACATAATAGTGGACCGCCAGAATCTCCCTATAAAAAATTATAAAAAATTAATAATCAACTATTAGAAAGTTTAGAACATTATGCAGCACGGTGTCTCGTATCTAAGTGCGCAGTCGATATTGACTTTAAGTTTCTGTAATTCGAAAACTTTTGGCATGTAGCGATCAGTGTTCCCACTCAATAAAAACAAAATGTATCCAATTTCAAGAAAAAAATGTATCCAAAATGTATCCAGCCTCCTAAAGTAGAATTATTATACTAAATCGCCTTATTTTATACCAATAAACTCATAAATAATATTAATTTGCTTTATTCAACAATGTAAGTTTCGTTATTTATAGTAAATTCTTTTAAAAATCACACGCAATTTCTATTACATTTTAAAATTTAAGGTCAGAAAATATATGTTCTGTAGCTGTTGAACTATGCGGTAAAAACTATTCAGCACGAAAACGGGCAAATTTTATTTAGTCAGCAAATAACATTTTTTGGAAGATAATGCACTTAAAAGTTACAGCACTTTAAAAGTTTTCTAACATTTATTTAGTGTTCGAGAAAGATATGTATCCATATTTCAGATTTGAGTATCTTTGTATCCAAGCTAAATTTTAAAGCAAAAATGTATCCAAATGGATACAATTGTATCCAAGTGGGAACGCTGGTAGCGATGCACTTAAATATGTGATTTTCTCTATATATTGTACTACTAAATTCTATTGAATTATTGTATTCAATTAATTTTATTTTATTCAAAAAGTTATGTAAAGTTTGTCCAACTTTTTTGAGTTACAAGAGCGGTACAAGAAATTTTATTATATATTGTCCAACTTTGAAAACTTAAAATTTTTAAAAAATAACGTTACTTTGATATTATTAAAAAAATGTGAGGAATTTGTGCTACAAATTTAGTTTTTTCTCAATTTTATATTTGATTGGTGATTTGAAACTCACCTGACAAGCATCTTTTCCACCCTCTTCGTAACCAGCGCAAATCATACCATCAGTTACGTTTAATGATTCAAGCCATTCATCACATTTCTCTCGTTTTACCACAGGAACTTTAACTTCATTTACAGACAGTTCATATGAAGCTGTAATGGCGCTTTGATTTTTGCTTACTATAATGAAAAATTAAAATATACCACAATTTTTTAAGATTTGTATTATATTAAATTTACTACCATTTTTATCTTCACGTTTTCCCCAACCAATAACTGTACAAACTGTTCCAGCTTTTAATTCTTGTAAATGAGTCGGAGGTAAACATACTGGCAGTAAATGCTCATGAAAGGCTACCCGTTTTGAAAGCTTTTATTTTTTTAATAATGTGGAAAGAGATAAGTCGTATTATCAATAATCTATTAAGGAAAAAACAAATACCTGAAAAAGAGCAATATCATTATCATGCGCCACTTCCGTATTGTACTGTGGGTGAGGAATAACAGTTTTAACTTTTAATTTTTGTCCATAATAAGTATGAGAGTTTCGTCTTGTAACACCGAGTTGAATGGTCCAATCATTTATGTCTCGCAACGTATGACTTTACAAAAAAAAACAGTAATTGTAAATATTAACTCACAAGAGTGATAGGAATTCAAATAAAACTTACTTTCCAATGCAGTGTGAAGCTGTTAAGACCCACTGGTCAGCAATTAATACCCCGGCACAATAAAATATTTCCTCTGGGCCACCTAAAATTGCTGCCAGAAAAGGCCAATCGCCAGGATTTGAAGGCTCTCCACCAACAATTCTTTTTGAAATTCTATGCTTCTTATTTTTCACTTTTCCACAATCTGAATTTACATTAAGTAAAAGTATAAAATAAGTTTTTTAAAATGAATATGTTTTTTTACCGAAATTGCTACACTGTAGTTCTAACTTTGGATAATTTCCTTCAGTTTGACATTTGGAAAATTCTTTAATTAAATTAACATTTGGGCTTTTATTATATCGTCGATAAAATTCAGGAGATGCAGATCTCGTTCCATTTGCACCAATAACCGGTTTTGTGATTTTATGTCCATTTACAGAATCATATCCTAGCATCGAACATACCGTAGGAGGAGATACGGTTGAATCCCAATTTGATATGCACGCTGGAACCCATTGTTTTTTTGTTCCATTAACTTTATAAATTTCTAAAAATCCTCTTCCTATATCACCATTGCGTTCACTTAGACGTACTACAATAAATTTTTATTTACCACTTTACAACATAATTTACTTTTTATCGTTTTAACATATAAAATACTTACTACAACTTCTCTCGTCTTGCGCATAGGGACAATCGACTGTACCATCACACATTTGTTTTTGGCTCATACATCGATTTTCACCGCAATAAATTGAATTTTCATCACAAAAATCACAATTTAATTCGTCAGTTTGGTCCATACAATCAACATGACCATCGCATCGCCAATCATTTGGTATACATCGTGTTTGATCGCATAAAAATCCATGACACACTAAATTAAAGGTATATATATGTGCATACAAGTGTAGTGAAATATTTAAAAATATCTTACCAGGATTTACAGCATCTTCATATACTTTTCTTACTTGGCTATAGCCAACACATTCTTCTGGATTTTTGCTATCAGTAAATAAATTGCAGTTTAGATAATCTGGCAACTGTAATCCAAAAACATCAAAAAAGAATCCACAACGTCTCATTGTTTCCATGCATAAAGATTTACAAGGAGGTACCGTTGTGCCAGTAGACCCGCATTTTGGTACAAATAGTGTACATAAGAATAACGACACCAATTCGTAACACCGAACATCCACTAAAGCATCATATGCCTCCAAATCCTATTGCATTTTGAAAAATGTTTTATTATTAACGTAATTAATTACGAAGGATTTCTTGATTTACTTAAACGATTGCATAATAAATTTTAATCGATCATTTTTTTGACGCTTATGTTAATTAAAGTAATCAAATTTTCTTAATTACTCGTAAATGTTAAAACTCGTTGTAAATTAATTTAGCCCTTGAGAGATAATAAACATCATTAAATATTAAGAACTGTAAGCATGGTAATCAAGACTTCATTTTATTACTCAGACTAAATAAAATTGGAAAATGTTTTCTTTTTTCGATTCATATAGGCATTATTTGATATGATTATAAAAGTAAAAATAGCGGGTTAGCGTAAGTAAGGACTACTCAAAGCCATGGTTACAGAAAAAATATTTAAAATATGAAAGCGTTTTTGACAGCAAAAAAAAATTAAGTTGGGTTAAATCAATGGTTTATATTGTAGCACTTTTCCCTTGAACAACAAGTGAAAACACTGCTTTTAAAAACAATCTAAGTATACCTCATTATACCCGTACGAACGTATGTTCGAAGGGTATACTAAATTTGCCTTACCGTTTGTAACGCTAATTGGATATGATCGGGGTACCGGTTCGGGTAGCTGCCATACAACTTCAAAATTTATTTGGCTATATCTCAGAAACTATAAAAGTTGTGATATTGAAATTTCACACAAACGAATATATTAGTAGGGCCAATGTGTCTCATAAAAGCCGTTGAAATTACTTGGCTCCTTCTGGTACCTGCCATGCAACTCCAAAAGTTATTTGGCTATATCTCAGAAACTATATAAGCTTTGGTATTGAAATTTCACACAAACGAATATATTAGTAGGGCCAATATGTCCTATAAAAGTCGATGAAATTACTTGGCTCCTTCTGGTACCTGCCATACAACTTCAAAAGTTATTTGACTATATCTCAGAAACTAAATAAGCTATGGTATTGAAATTTCACACAAACAAATATACTAGTAGGGCCAATGTGTTTGATAAAAGTTGTTAAAATTTCTTGGCTCCTTCTGGTACCTGCCACACAACTTCAAAATTTATTTGGCTATACCTCAGAAACTATAAAAGTTATGGTATTGAAATTTCATACAAACGAATATATTACTAGGACCAATGTGTATGATAAAATTTCTTTGCTCTTTGTGGTAGCTGCCGTACAACTTAAAGTATTCAACTTGGCACACACAGTATTTTGAAAAACTCACAGTACTGAAATTTTACATAAATTAATATGGTAATACTGCAACTTCAAGTCATAGTCTGTCCCATAGTCAGTTATGGCATCTTTATTCGCACATAGGATAACAAATTCGTACGGGTATCACAGAGTTGACAAGGTCAACTCTATTTTTTTTCTCATATAGTATTAAAATTATTATCATTCATGTATGAAACTATTTCTAGGATCGCATAAATTTGGGATGAAAAGTTTATGCAGTTTTTGACAAAAACAAGAATTAATTTAAAGTGAGTTTGCCATAATGCTCGATTTTAAAGATTAGATGCGTGAGTTAAGAAAAATAATTATATTTTTTAATGTCATGAAATTTACCGTTGAAATTTACCGTACCGCTTTCTGCGTTCATAGAGATTTAATAAAGCTGGCGTTTTTGCAAATTATAAGGTGCCAAATATTCAAATTTTACACATTTCAAAAATAAAGCGGTCTAGAACAAAAACGGCATCAAAAATTTGCAAAAATCGGGTTTGAGATAACTGTAAATGTTAACTGCCATTTTGTCTTTTTAAAATTTAAATATTGAATGCCGTTGTACAAAAAACCATCCACTATATTCCTGCGTTTTCTAAAGTTTGAAAAATATTACGATTTCACTTTAATTAATAGTTAAAAAATGCCGTTTTTAAGGTTGGTTTTAGGGGGGTATGGCTTTATAGAGGGGGAGGAGATAGGTAAAACTTTTCTTGTAAGCAAATAAGTTTCCAGTAAAGGTCTATGAACACAAAAAATTTCAGCTTTCTATCATCAAGGGTGTAAAAGTTTTGTAAACATGTCGAAGGCCGGACGGACGACAAAGTGAAACTAACAAGCACTGTTTTTCAAAATTTTTTTGGAAAAGTGCTAAAAGAAGACCAAAATTAAATAAATATGAAAAGCAGGGCGAAAAAAGAAAGTATCAATTTTTTTTTCATTTGCGTCAACTCTACCAATTTAGATCAATAGCTCATAGTGAAAATACCTCTAGAGAACAGAAGCGCATTGTGCAAAAGAAGCAGAATATAAGGGCACAAGAAGTCCCTAAGTAAATCCACTTTCTAAACTTCATACAATTTTTTTCTGCTTTTCCACGAATTTGGGAAGTTACTTATTTTTTTATACTCCCTAGGTTTTTGAGAGTTTTGTATTATGATTAGAATCGATATCCTAAAATTTGTTCGAGTATAACTTCAAAATTAGTCCCAATACATTATATCTTAACAATAAGTTTTATTTAAAGTTTTATTCATTTTGGAAAAACTTATTGTACAAATTGCTAAAATCTTTTTTATAGAAAATTTTTTATAGAAAATCATGTCACGGATATTTTATTGATTCTTACTTTTTCCCAAATCATTTATGAGTGAAAATGTAAAGCCATTCGAGATCATATTAATGGTACCTCATACGATAATATTTGATTTACTTTTTTTAACGCCTCTTTTGAAGAAGATTTCCAAACATTTCTTTGTAATAATATAGGGTAATTAAAATTTTAGGAAGTTGCATAATGAGAAAGTTTTTAGTATTAGACAGGCGAAATGAGTTAAATATCAAGTTAACTGTCTAATTTTTACTTTAATTAACACTTCTATTAATAGTATCATTTGTCCACAAAAGACAAAAAAAAATGTAATGGTTTTGTACATTTAAATATAATACATATACATACATATGGTATAATATAACAAACATACATATATAATGGTACTCGTATATTGGGCTTTAGAAGTTTTAATAAATAATTTTACTTACAACTTGGGTTTCAAGTTGGCCAAAGTGTCCAATGTAATTTGGAAATACGGTGTAATTGTACGGTATATGAGTTGTTTGACAAAATTTAACTATTATTGGTAAACATATGCCAGGTGCTGGGTTCTTTCCTAAAACTATGAATGAGTGTATTTAAATTATTATAAAAATATTTTGTTAAATATATCGATTCCAATATTCTATTAAGTTTTATTTAATTGATAAATTATAGTTATTTACCTGATACCATATCAACATCCTTTGGAATTGCAGGCGAATATATAATGGTTTTGTTGACAAATTTTATTGTTGGATATGCGTTAAAGTATGCCACAAGACCGCCTAATTATTTTAAATTATTAAAATAATTGTCAAAAATATTAAACTAAAAATTCGTTAATATTAATTTACCAGCTATTGCAAGGAGAGCTAAGGCATTGACAAAAAGTTGTAATAGACGAAACTTTGTCCGATTACTCTGATTTGGATATGGTAATGCTGAGCTTTTTCGGCGGCTAATAATCTAAACAAAAATAAAGTAGGAGGGATATGAGTAGAATTAAAAAAATAATTAAGACTAGAAAAGTTTTGCATTCATTTCAGGAGCACTGTGTAAACGTTAATGTCCTTTTACTAAAGACAATGTGAAAGTTTTCTTTAATGAGCATGCTAAAATAGTATCATAAACAAATCCCTTTCTTAAAATATCAATTATTTAATGAATTTGAAATCTAAATCGAAGTTAAAATTTGGTTTTCCAAGTTCGTTATAAAATTTAATTTTATGGAACGTAGTGTAATATCTAATAAAACATTTTCAGTAACACAGAAGCACCTGAAACGTTTTCATTCATATATAAAACACGTCTTTTAGAAGAAGATATTAAACACGTCCTTCTTTTAAATGATTTAATCTAGACTTGTTCAATCGACAATGTCTTTTGTATAAATCACTTAAATCAATTTTGAGTGTAACATAGGTGAGTTATTTTGAAAGGGACGTGAATCCATTTACAATTTCAAAACTCTTTTATTTCCAAAGTAATGATAATGTCAATATTTGGAGTTGAAACTAATGTTTTCGGACAACAAAATAAATATTCTTCAATGTAATTAACCAGTTAACCGAATTTTTGATTTCTTTAAACCCAAACGGAGCAATTTTTTTAATTGAAATAGGTTAGCGTCACTTTCCAAATAAACCATCCATATGCTCATTATCATCCATAAAACATTGTTATACTCGTAGCCTATTAAAATATTAACAAATAAATCTTACAAAAATGTTCTTACATCTGCACTTGCAGAAATTTTTGAAAGGGTTTTATATTAAATTTAAATACCATGTTACTACCCCTGTATTAATGAAGAATTCAGCTAATGGATGTCAGACAATGGCAGAATTTTGTTGAGAAAGCAATGTCACCTATATTACCTTCACTACCAATTTCAAGTTTTCTATTTTTGTTGCCATACATATTATTTTTATTTGTCATGTTTTATCTTTAATTTAAAACATTTCAAAGCTTACCTTATGCTGAAGCGACATATTTGAAGTACCATTTTGAAATTTAACAACTGTCTGAAGACTTGCTGGTGTTGATGTACTTTTTGTTATTGGTGAATTAGGTACTGACATTTGATCTTGTTGTTCTTGAATTGTGTCGTTCGGAATTTTGAATGTTTGTTTATCTAAAATATTATGAAATATGACGTAACTATAAAATCGAACAATTGAGTAATAATAAAGATGAAAGAAACATATCGTAAAATATTTTTAATGGTAAAAATCGCATTTTAGTTTTATTTCTACTTTTTTACATTTATTTTTCGTACACAAGAACTCTTTGTTCAAGGTCAATGCATAAAAGAGTAAAATGCTGAAAGTTTGGATTAAAAGTAGGACAACAATAAATAAGTACAAAATTGAATATGATTGGCAGAAGATGGCACTAGTATTAAAAACAAAAAGCCTTCATTTCTGTTTTTACTATTTAAGCATTTTACTAACACTAATCTTGTCAACAATGTTTTATTGTTGTTAATGGTGAAATATTTTTCGGCTTCTTTCACCCTAAACTTGTTGAAAACAACTGTCTACATCTTCAACTATGGAAATTTTAATCTATACACCTTTAATTATCAAAAATCTTTTTTATTGATAATGTAAAGTAAGGAGCTAGCTATATGAAGCTATCAGAAAAATTCGTACGAAAAATGAGTATTAGTTGAATTTTTTTTAAACTAGTTGAAATGACCATATAATTCCACCAGAGGCAAATAAAATATTTCATGTTCCTTTTTCCGACAGCTTTAATTAGCGTCGAGGAAATGGTATGAGTTTTCAAATTTTTACAATTGTTGCGTAATACTTCAAGTTATTACGATTTAAATTTAAATAAATAGCTTGCTAGTAGGATTTGTAGTTCAGTATACTCACTTTTTAGTAATTTTTTCATTGTTGGAATCAAAGGAGCCTCCATAATTTTCGAGTTATATCCTGGACTAGAGGTTTGACTAAAACTATCACTCGATATTGTTGAATCTTGTCTGGTTGTAATGCGATTCGCTGGTGGTGGTGATGATATATTTGATGTAGATTTATTATTATTAAGTTTTGTTGACAATGTTCCACCAGACATGGATGATGATGAAGATAATGAAGAACCTGACGTTGCTGTTTTATGTCTTTCTGGAATAACAAAAGTGCTATCGATTTCCTCTTTACCATTATTATGCCGAATATCACTTTTCTTGATTTTCGATGCGTTTTGAATTAAAGGAGTTTCCATACTTTTAGAATTATAGCCGGGACTTGAAGTCATGGAGAAACTATCACTTGATATGCTTGAGTCTTGTCGCTGATGAATTTTTGGATATGCAATGGGGGGTGGTCTAGTTTTTGTTAATTTTTTGCGAAATGATAAATTATTATTTGTTTCAGTTGACGAATTTGTACTACTTGAACCGATATTTGAGATTGATGGAAGTTTACGACCACTACCTATCAAATTTGGTACATTTTGGTAATTTCCAATATCGTTTGATGGTTGCTGTCGTGTTGGTGGCGTAGGTGGAGTGGGGCGTAATTTACTCTTGTTATGGGCATCTTTATTGACATTTTCATTATTTGAAATTGGCGGTGAAATTTTAGGGGGTTGCTGATTTGAATTTTGTTGCTTAGATCCATTTCCACGCATGGGTACAATTGGTAGATTGCGATTTTGATTTTTATTAAAATTATAGTTTGTATTAGTCAAATGAGTTGGAGATGTAGATGCAGATTGTTCAATGCGAAAAGATTCTTTTGAAAGTGGTGAATCAATAGTTTTTTCTGTTAGACAACTATCTAATGAAGATTGTGTATCAACAGATGAAAATCGACTCCGGAAATCTCCATTGTTCCCACCATTTGCTGAAAAATTAATAGTAGTCAATTTTTAATTTCATAATCAAATATATTTATACAATATTAAAATTACCATTTGGCGAAGTTCTAACTGCACCTGAATCAACAGAAGCCAAATTTTTTTCACTGCCGTTATTTGATGATATATAACCGGTATCAATAGTCAATTGAGATTTATTTGAATCACTTGATGAACGATTGGAATATCTTGAATTGTTCATAATATTTTTACTCATTGTTGTAGGAGACGGTGATGGGGTTGCTGCAGTTGTGGTTATATCTAAACTATTCATTAATATCATATCATTTTGAATCATTTCATTACAGTTACGGCCGTTTGTTGTTGCGTTATTTCCGGATGACATAGATGATTGAGATGTATACAAATCATTAGTGACTTCTAATAAATTATTACTGCTGCCATTACTACTGCTGTGATTATTACGACTAGATGATTGTTTTGGAGAAATTGATGATAGTATTGAACGTGGTGATGGTGCCGTATTTATTGATGGTTCATCAAAAACGGAATTATTATCTAAACTCATATGATCATCATAATCATCCATATCAACATTACCATCGTCATCAATGCCGGTTTCATCATTATCATCAAACAATTCTGCTTGGTTACTCTTTTCATCTTCATCGTCAGCGCAATTGTCGTTATCATCATCAACATCAACTACATTATTTTGAATACTATTAAAATTTTGCATTTTATTGTTGTAATTTTTATTTTGGTGTAACTGGTACTGCCTCTTTATTAAGTTAATGCTATTCACTAAATTAATATCTTTTTTTGTGGATTGTTGCTGTTCATTATATAGTTGTTTAGGTTCTTGATTTTTTTGTGACACATTATAATGACCAAGGCAATCAATACTATTGTCATGATGATTAACAATTATTTTATTTGTTGAATTTGATTTTATTGCTGATGACATAGATGATGAAGAATTATTATTTTTTAAAACGTTTTGTTGCTGTTTTTGTTGTTGCTGTTGTTGAGTATTAAAAAACTTTGTTAATGGTTTTGTTACAATAGACGTTTCTGCACCTGAATTCATGTAATTATTTATTATTGATTGCTGTGGTTGATTTTGTTTCTGTGGTTGTTCCACTTGTTGTTGTTTTCTATCATTTATATTATTATGTCCAAGTCCATTATTTGTTTTGAGGGTAACTACGGAATTATATTTTGTTGTGTTACAATTTTGTTCTGAATTTCCATTAGGTAATATATTTTTGGGATTAAATGACAATTTATTGGAATGGTTTCCAATGTAATAATGATGTCTATGATCTGATGTTTCATCAATTGAATTATAGGGATAATCCATTTCTCTTGTTTTACCGCGATGATTAATTGAATGTTGATAGCTTTGACTTTGATTTTCACCACCTAAATCGAATACTTAAATTTAATTTTAATGGTTTTAGTATTAAACTTGAAACTTTTATAAATGAATTTATATTTAATATATGAAATATTTAATATTATGTGCGTTAATAACATATAGACTAAGACCAAGTTATAAAAGGTTTTCAAATTATTCAAAGTATATTATTAACTTTATTTAGCAGCTACATATGTAAGTAATTTAACACCCATTATAATTTGATAAAATCCATAAAATTTAATAAGTACTTACGATTTAAAAATTTTCCACGATTAAATGTTCTCTTTGGGATGGGAGGAGGTGGAATAGAACTCACAGCAGCAACTGCTTTTGCTGCTATTGATTGTACTATATTTACAGCAACTTGTGTTTTTGATTGTTGATTGTTATTCATAAGTGTTGGTGGGGTTTTCTGTTTTGATTAAATAATAAATAAAAAACAAATCCTTTTTCTTTATTTCTTCGGTAAAAATTTATTTGGAAAGGAGTTGCAAAGCGGCAAAATAGGTTTTTTAAATAAGTTCCCCAAGAAATTGAAAGTTTAAATTGCAAAACGGATATTGAAAAAATAAATTTTTCTTACTTAAAGGTAATTATTAAAAAATGAAGGTCAAGAAAAGTGGACTTTAATATTTATTTAACTTATAATTTTAAAGCTATTTATTGTGTCTTTACTAAGCTATTTCGAAATGAGAATTTAAACTATTCACGAGAATATGTATGAACTAATTTAGGGAAAATATAGTATGTATCCCGATTCTCTGCTCTCTCTTAAGTTACTGCCTTTTGAAATTTGTAAAATCTTAATTTTCCGCAACTTATACTTTCAAAACTGCAACCTTTTTCATATTTCCATAAATAGAGAAATCTAACGGTAAATGTCGTACCATCAAAAAATATAATTATTTTTTTTTAACTGACACAATTGACTTTTAAATTTGAGCTTTATTTTAACGCCCCTTCACTTTTTTTTCTCATCCTTAATGTATGCAATCTTTGAAGTATTTTAAATGATATATGAATGAAAGTAATTTTAAATATAGATTATTTGAAGAGCAGTATTTTTACTAGTTGAGGTGAAAAGTTCTACTTTATAAAACATTGGTTTCACCCAACTTTTTTTATGAAACATTTATTGGTTTTGCCGAAAAACACGGCAAATAACAGGACGACTAGAAAAAATTTCCTTGCTAGGGTATAATTTACTGCACGAGCCTGTAATATTTTTATATATATTTTATATATATGTATATATATATTATGTATGTATATATGTATTTGCATCTATAGATCTACACTTTCGTTTTTTATGAAGAGAAGAGAAGATGTAGGTCGTAAGTAACGATCTTTTTTAAAACCGAACATGCGATTTTTAAAAATTTACTTGCATTTAGTTTTTCAGCCTTTCGGTTTCAGATCTTTGAGATCTGATCTTTGAGGCTTTTAAGATTTGAAGGTGAAATAAAAAATTAAACGTTAAACGTACATGTTTTCTTTGAAATAAAATATTAAAATTCAATGACTTGCCTTCGGCTCCATCGAAATTGAATTATTCGATTTCAATTGAGTACCTTCTGATATTGTTGATGATGAAGGTGTTGTTTGTTCTCTTTGAATTTTCAAATGATTTTGATGGTGATATTGTTGACTTTGCTGATAATTAGGCGGTTTTTCTTTTCCAGAAAAAATATTCGGTTGATATTGTGACTGAGTTTGCTGCATCTGTTTTGATTCGTGATACATTTCTGGTTGTCGTAGTTTTGGTGTTTGAAAATTTATTATTTTTGATTGAGTTCCTTCTTGTAATTTTGCATTTTGATTTTGAATGTGATTTGAAAGTGATTGTTGCTTATTTTGCTCTTGTTTTTGATGGTATTTATAATTTCTTTCGTCTAATGTGGGATAACAATGAGCTGAATGCCTTCTAATAATGTTTGGGTTCGGTGTTGGCAAAAGAGTTGCTGAACAACACTCTTTTTGTTGCTTATCGTAGAAATCCAATAAAGAACTATTTGGTAATGCCAAACTTCCAGCACGGTTAGCTCTTTTATATTTAATTATAGGAAAAAAAATTATTGATATAAAGGTAAATTAAGAAATTAATTAGTTAAAAAGCTAAATTTAAAATATTCGAAAAAATTAAGGCTCGAACGCATATATAGCTATTTATATCGATATTTGAAATAATCCTTATATTTACCTTGTCCGATTTTGAACAAACTCCTCAAAAGAGTTGTGTGATAATTGATCTAACGGATCAATGTTTTTCTTTGGGTTGATAGAAGTGGACATTTTTCCTAAAATCGTCATTAAAAGTTTTTATTCTGAAAAATATAAAAATAATACACAATTTCAGGTAAGCTTTAAATATTTTAGGTTTTTTATATTTTGTTTTGTGTAATAGTTAAAATTTACACTATTTACACTGAGTTTAGCACAAATAAAACCGTTCGGACAAATTATTTTCAATATTCTCATAAATGTAAAGTAAAGATATATTGTAATTTTATGACTGTAATTAAAATCCACAATTACAGGTTGCTCTAGAAAAGGGAAAAGTACTGTTGTTATTCTTTTTCTGTTACCGTTCCTACCAATATAAAATAACAAAAACTTTTATTTTAATCGTCCAATTTTGTATTATGGAAAGTATTCAGTAAAAAAGCTTAATAGATCTGAAGTGTATAGCTTAATAGCTCTCAAATTTACCATTTTTACTTTAGTAATTTTAACCAAATTTACTTAAGTAATTTCTTAGTTAATACTATTTTTTCTTAATTATCTCGCAATACAAACAAATATTATCTAATGTAGCGCAAACGTTGTCCAGATCCTTATATGGTTACCTTTTTTAAGCTCTTATAATTGATGTGGAACTGAAACCTTTTGTCATAGAAATAAAGAGACACACAGACAGATAAGCAAGCAGAGTGAAATTAGTATCAAAATTAGTTTTTCTCCTTCAATATTAGAAAATGTACCAAGTAAAGGCTTAAAAATTTATCTTACATTTAATATGTAAGACCAGTATCTTTATTTAGTAAGCATTTCAATTAATTCAATTCTACTAAAACAGGCGACATTTATATAACTATTTACCTATTTTTATAATAGATATTCAAAAAATAATATACATACGTTTGTATTAACATTTTTAATATTTAATCTAATATTTATTATATTAATATAAGCATATATATTACATATTACTACATATTTAATATGTATATATTACGTATATATATATATACCGTGTTTATAAACATGTATAACGTGTTTATATTTATTAATATGAACTAAATGTCGAAATGTATAATTTTGTGTTAAAAGAATGGTCTATTTCTATTTACTTTGTAGTGCCTATTATCATGTTAAACAGTGATGATACCCTTCAACAGTTGAATACAATTTGACTCTGGACACTTACTTGAATACATGTACACAAAAAAACGATTTTTTTTCTTACGATCATATATTGTTTTCATTCTTATTATCAAAACAAAAAAGATATTCTGTAAAATTTAAATAGGATGCAAACTTTTTAAGTTATATGACACTGAAAATATCTTGAATTTCTGTTAAGAATCCTCTATAATTGGAAACATTTGCTCGTTTTTACATCACGCAAACAATTTTGTTAATTTTGCACTCCTATTTGGTGTATTTTCACATAACTCACCAAAAATCAAAATTTGAGCATTTCGTAAACTAAAATCAGATTTATACACACGTAATATGTTCACATGCAAATATTTTAGGAGAATTTTAGCTTTCCCATATTCCTATTATTGTCTCAAATTTAATTTAAATGAGAACAAATAAATTTCTTTAGTATAGCTCCAATAATTTGTATATATAAATAATAGACATAATGCCAAATAACTTCTGGAGCTGTATGGCAGCTATCAGAAGTGCTCATGAGATCTCAACAACTTTTAATGATATAGCTGCCATTTTATTTTGCAAAATTTCAATACTGTAAGTTGAACAATTTTTAAGATTTAGCCAAATAACTTTTGGCTAAATCTTCTGGCAGCTGCCAGAAGGAGCCAAGCAATTTTAATGATTTTTATCAAGCACAATGGCTTGATAGCTTTCATAATTTCTGATATATAGTCAAATAAATTTTTAAGTTGTATGGCAGCTACTTGAACCAAAATTGAGGAACCAACTAAGAATTCGACGCTGATCAAAAACATATATACCTGAGTCTATATCTTAGACCATTTGTAATGCTGAAAACGGTAAGGCAAGTTTAATACGGGTATAAAAATGTAAGCTGCTAAGTATAAGCCCTCTTTATAAGTCGAGGCGATAACTGCGCAAAACAAAGTGATCTCATCTAGCTTACGATTTCAGAAAGCAATAAGCTGATAAGGGCAGCATTTAGTTAAAACTTTTTCTTTTGTCATCCAATATTGTCAATAAAAATTAATAAAAATAAGAACAATTTTGAATGTAAAGTAGAAAATTATACTTTTAACTTTACTTTTTTGTAGCTATGACAATAATATTGTGAAAACAAGATTTTTCTCGCGAACCGGCTTCTACTTTATTTGATTTCATCACTCTTTGTGTGTGTATATACAATATGATAGAACAGTAAAAATATATACAAACGACTATTTGCATACCATTAACCTACCCGTATTTAAAAAGTTTTTAGTAAACCTATTCATTGTGTATTCATTCCTTTTTAAAATAAAAAAAATACAATTTGGTCCTATTTAATATCAAGATTCTGCGAGTATGAACATAATTATCCCATTCCACTTTATAGAGGAAAATGATTTTGTTTTTTTTTTTTACATTTACGTTTTTTATGGCAATTGATTAAATGATTTTATATCTTGTAGAATTTCAGTTTTATTATTTATATACAGCGTGATTGTTATACAACAACATATACCATTGGTTAGAAGATCGAAAATGTGTAAAACTTTTGTTCTGGACTGGCTGCCAAATCACAAATCAGAACAGGGTCTCTAGGGATTTTAACGAATTTTCACGAAATTTTTACTTTTCCAGTTTTTTTTTTATTGTAACTTCTATTCTGAAAAATATAGGAAATTAAAACAAACAGTTTCAAAAGGCCCTAGTAAAGGACTTAAAATATAAATGCTGCTTAATTCTGTATTTTATGTACCTTCGGAATGCAAAGCATTCGAACTTTCAGGAAAATAAAATTTTCCCCTTCCTGTTTTCAATTTTTTCAAACTAGATAATTTCGTAAGAAATTTTTTAAAACCTTGAAATTTTTTTACAGAATTTTGCCTAGCTGCTTAAGCTTTAATTCAAGTCCTCAAACATTAAAAAAGTTTTTCTGTTACAGAAGATGTAGCACAAAAACCATTTCTATGTCAAGATTTTAAAGACCCTTAAAGGAAAGGATTTTAAGCGTTGTAATTGTCAACTATCATTAATTTTTGGTGACAATAGTCACTCGAAAAAACAGTTGACATTTTGAAGCGCTGTTATTTTGATAAAAAATTTGAATTTTAATGTTTTTATTGAAATGTAACAAATAATATTAAAATTGAAACGAAATTTTTATACAAAATTTTAATTTGAAAAACAAAAATAGATTTTAAAAATTTTGAAATTTTTGAAAAGAAAAACTAGAATTTTTTATTACGAAAAACAAAAAAAGAATCTAGTAATCAAAAAATTCTTTCGAAACTTTTCTTGGTAAAGAAAATTGAAAGGTTTTTTATTTTTGCCAATTTTTATAAGAAATGGTACCTATATGGTTTGAAATTTTTAAATGCATTTCTCTCAGATTGGGTGCAATTTAAAAATTTGAAAAAAATATTTTCGAAATCTAGGCACCATTTGGCATTTGAAGTTATTAAAATTATCCAGCTGGAGCGAATTTTTAAAGACATGCCATATAAATTTTGACATTTATTTTAATTTAAAAAAAAAAATTCTTAATAGGAAAATTTAATTTTTTAGAACAAAATGGAGTATGTGATATTTACATTATGAAGATAATAAATAATTAATAAATAATTCAACGGGGTTAATGAATTTTAAACATATTCCTATAAAAGCTAAAATTTTCATACGGTTGATGCAACTAAAGAGGTGTTCCACTAAAGTAATCAATTGCGATTAAATAAAAATAGGTGTGAAAGAAGAAAAACATAAAATTTTGCCGAATTAGGTGAATTTCATAGGAGAATTTGGTGTTTATTTTGAGAAATTTGTAAATTTTTTAGTAAAGGAATATAAAATTGAATTTAATTTTAGTTTTATCAACATCTGGCCTGATTTTAATTGAATTTGTGACTCACATTTCTTCTGTGCCATAAAAAATTTTGTAATGTTTGAGGATTTAAATTGAAATTTAAGCAACTTTCTGTAAAAAAAAATTTCAAGGTTTTACCCAACCAATTTGGAACAAAAGTTTTACCCATTTTCGATCTTCTAACCAATGGTATATGTTGTTGTATAACTTTCTGTATCACTCTTACCTATCTGTATCATTGTTTACCTTAAAAAAGTTTCCAGTTTTTCAGTATAATAGTTTAAAGATCTATTTTGATTAATAGAAGCTATAAAAGCTTCCAAACAATCTATTTATCAAACGTTTTTTGAAAATATGTGCTACATTTTTAAAATAAATTAAAATTTAATTCACGGTCAAAACTCATTATACGAATAATTTATAACTGAACTAATCTAAAATTTATTGTGTATAGCTATTAAGGCAATTACGTTTCCCAGTATGTCACAATTTTAACGATCATGTTAATCACTTGGTTCTTTCGCAATTTTTGCAATTAAATTTTTAAAAATTAATTCAATAAAGCGGAAAATTTGAGATTTCAAATCCAAAATATTTTCTTTATCAATAATTTTGTCTCATACGAAAATCAAACAAATGGAAAAAAAACTATAATAACAATCAGTTGCGTTTGCAACGTATATTGGAATTTACGATGCACGCGTATTGTAAATCCAATATTACGTATATTGGATTTATGATATGCGTGCCTCATATCGCATTGGAATTTATGACTAACGTCAGTTGCGCGCATTTGACATACATACCGGGAAACCACTTAAAATTGCATTTCTAAGTCAATTTCAGGACTTTGATCGAAAGAAAAATTGATATTGTCCTAAATTTGCTAAAAATATTTACTCCTTCTTATTTTATTATATTGTTGGAGTTGGTCTTACGGCAAATAAAAACATAGTTGCAAAAACAACATAGTTTGTGTCAACAAATATTAAAATGTTCTAGCAACATTTTAACAAGACATTAAATTTTTAAAAAATGTATTATTGACTTATCGACAACGCAGTAACCATGTCCACTTAGATATGTAGTGCATCCCAAAAGTTTATTTGTTTTCATAAAACTTAATACCTGTATTTCATATAGTCCTTAATTTCGAGTGCTACTATCGTATCTACAAACTATATTGTAATGCAATTTTACACGATTTAGTGATGCTATAAACTCAGCGTAAATTGTTTTTTCCAATAACTTAAGAACAAAATATCAACAAATTGAAAAAAAAAAAAAAACAAAATAAAAAAAGAATCCTATAGTTACTTAAATTGCCACTAAATTTGGCAACGTCAAATTTTTTCATATTTTTTGTTTTCTTATTCTTTCAGTTGTTGTGTTCTACGTTACAATTTTTTGGTTTCTATTTATGTTTCTTTCGTTTTATGTTCACGGATTTTTCACATCATTTTATTTTATGATCAAAAAAAGACCTTCAAAAGAAGAAAATTGCGTATAAGAATCCTAGGTAAATTGTCCAAATATTATTTCTACATGTATAGATATATGAAAATATGGAAGAAAAATAATGGCATAGCTTGCCAATTATAAGGTGTGTTTTACCATCGAATAAATTAAGAATGTCGATTACATTTTTGTCTTTGAAAATGGGTTTTTTTTATAACTCAATGTGTAATGTGTTTATCTTTCAAAAAACGATTCCGTTCAGAAAATAGTTAGTTAGTGTCTAAAAGGCGTTATACCAAGCTTTCGAAATTAATTTGTGTTATGTGCAGAATAAATCCCTTTCTTATTTTAGAAACTAAATTGCATTTGAGTGAAGGGAAAATTATGTAAGGGTAAAATTACGTTGTCTTCGATCAAAATAATGCTCCGAGGGAAGAACACAACAGCCATAGATCGTATATGATATATTATCCAGATCCCGTATTTTTTTATACGTATTGTAATTAAAGCTATAAAATCTTTAATTGCAATACGTCATCTAATGTATAAAATAATTTTTGAAAACGGGCAGTTTTCAAATCCAGAGCAGTTTGCTGAGGAACACCCTTAAAATGTTATTCCATATTTCTCTAGTATAAGAAAATTTTTTAGGATTATAAACGAAAGAACAAATTTATAACAATTTTCAAACATAATTTTTTTTTTGTAGATATAAAATTTTGAGCATCAACAATCTTCCAGCGATAAGTAAAATTTATGAAAATTATTTACTTTTATTTCACTTCGATGGTGTTGAGCTTTTATTTTTACAAAAGTAATTTCGTATACTCAATGGCTTCTTATTTATTTTTATTACTTTTTATATATTTTTGTGTCATTGAAAATAATTTTAAGGATGCTTCAAATTAGTTAGGAAATTAATGCGATTATTTTAGAGTTAACAACTTGTTGGTTGTGACTATTTTATCATTAATATTTATTTTTTTATTTTATTAGCGCCATTTTTATTGTTTTCGTAATTTTTTGCTTATAAGTTGATTATTTATTTAGTTTTTTCTAATTAGATTGAAAATATTACGTATTGACTATAAGTGGAAAAGGAACAAGTACGTTTTTGATGCCACGAATTGGAGAAATAAAATTTCAAAACAACTTAAACGAAAATTTTTTTCACACCATTGTTCAAAATATGAAAATAACTTTATTTCTAGCAAAGCAAATGCCTAAAGTGCCTTTTACGTAATATTATAATTTTACAAATTTAACGTAACCATATTTCTTTCATGTTTAGTTTGTTTTGTCAATCATAAGTGAACAAATTTACAACAAGACCGAGTTTCCATTTATTTTGCTAATAATGAAAATTTATTACTAAAGTATTGGTTACCAATAGAAGTTTTGAATGAAAGTTATCCATGAACAATATAGTTTCTCAAAAAAGGGTGCGAAATTTTTGGAAAGCTATCCAAAAATTTATTTTTAACGCAATTCCCATTTCTTTAATTCAATTTCTGTGCAAGCATTTAGTAGTCACGTAAGAAGAGTATTTTCGCAGTTGCATATTATTGTACTAGCTGAAGTTATGTTATACTCGTATAATAGGTTATGTTTATATAAGACAAAATCAATATTTTTGATTTCATTTTCACAGTGCAAATCACAAGTCAAATATATACAAACCAAATCTAACTTTTTAGGTCATAATCAAAAGTCACCAAATACATATATTTATATTTATTTTCACACGACTGGGTAAAGAAGTCATGAAGTGTTCGGCCAATTTCGTTTGAGTCTTTTGAAAATCCACCTTACCAGACTCCAGGTCCATAGAAGAAGAAGAAGAAAGAGAAAAGTTTAAAAAAAGTTTCAAAACCATCATCCGTTAACCACCGTTCACTCAAAAATTCCTTTAAAAATTTCGTTGCAGAAGTTATTTAGAACAGAGTACGTTCTCTTATACGCCTTTATTGTATTAATGTTGTTCATTCACTGAAAACCTAATAATTTTGGTTATAATTAGAGAAATAAAAGCAAAAGTTGCAAACACTTTTCATCGCAATTCTCTTCTATGTTTATCATATTATGATAGTTGGGATATTAGTGACCTAGCCACAAAAAACTGTTTTTAGTTAATTTGTTCCATGCTTATTTCATCCGCAAATTTCCCTGTAAAAATACAAACGTATTCACAATTCCTTTTAAAAACCGGAAAACGGGTAAGTTTTAAACAGATTGAAAATTCATTATCAAAAGGAAACTTCTTATTAATTTTTAAAAAATATGTTAAAAATGAATAAAGTAAAAAAAAATTAAAGCACTGCAGAATCAAAGAAAAAGTTTAGTGAATGTTTTTTATTTTTCTGTTCTCTTTATTCAAATATTGCCACAATAATATACAATACTTATGTAATACATGTATAACCTGAAATATAAATTTATATTATACTGTGTATATACATACGTTATACAGATAACTGGAGAAGTACGTAGACATACCTAATTTTGAAATATTTTAAATACTCTCAGTTTTATCGAAGGAATGTTTCAAATTAGAATTCAAATACCTTTCACAAAAGAATCTTTTTATAAAAATTTTTATTGCTTTTTTTCTTTATACTAAAAGGCATTTAATTTTATAATATTATAAATGGTGACCATGATGTACAAGCATATACATATATATAGTAATATTACAAAGTAGTTATAAATTATATAATGTTAGAAATATTTTTCAATGTTTTTCATTTGATATTACCATAAATTTTATATTTGTGTAGGTACGAGTACTTGTGTATGTTTAAAATTCCGAATTGATTTTGCATATCACAGCTTTTGTAAATAATTTAAGTCAACTATGTAAATTTGGAAAATAGTAAAACATAACTGTATACAGTTTGTTCAGCCTTTATAACTGATAGTATCAACCAAAAATTACATTATTATCATTTTGAAAATGCCCCTAACTTTATGCAAAATTTATCAAATATCAAAATGAAAATAAATATTTAAAAATTTAGATAGCGCAACAATAATTATTGACAAGTGATATTTCTCATTAAACTTTTCTATGCAGAAATAAAAAAATTTGAGCAAAGGTAAAATATAAACTGAATATTTCTCTTTCATATTCATATACTTCTTAAAATTTATTAAATGTTAAAAACATTGAAAATTAAGTTTATAAGCGCAAATACCAAAATGCACAATTATTAATATACCCTGGTACAACAATTTACATGACTTAATAGTACACTTATTGACACTCAAATTGCATGCTTGTACGCCTGTGAGAATACATACATATATATGTGTTCTCAAATATTGGATATATCACAGGTTTTAACAATTATTATTATTAATTTTATTTTACTAGAATAAAGTTTCTTTGCAGCTTTTCTCTCTGGCAAGTTACTTCTTCTTAAAAAATTTCGAAATGTTAAATTTTTAGATGTTGTCAACAATAATTGTACTTTTATAGTACATAGCCACTAGAAAATGTGATCAATTATTGACACCATTAATAATTTATCTAGTCAGTGCATCCGTCCTTTCGTTTTTCTATTTGTGACACTATCTTTGAAATTTTTAGAGTAAGCAAAAGTGCTTACATTTCCCATCCAATATTTAAATATAAATTGACTTGCTTGAATTAAATTTGAGAGATAAACATTTTCAAAAAAGTTAAAATATTTACTGTTAAACACAGTCATATCATCCTTAGGCATTTGTCAATATACATTGTTTTCAAATCGATTAAAGAACAAACTCAAATTTTCGTTTTCACAAGGGTTTATACAGAATATGAACTTTTACCCATATTCTGTTAGTCTCATCACTTGACGTGATGGATTATAAGTTGAAAATCTTCCACGTTTATGAAAAAAATCAATTCCGAAATTCAAAATTTTACATTGAAAAATCAAATTTTTTTTCAACTTAAGTGATGCGACTAACATAAAATGATTGTTTCACTTTGAAATTTCAAAATATACAAGAAATTCCATAAGAGCTAGGAACTCCATGAATAGCTACAAAGGGAGCTAAACAAGAGCTTTATTGAGCTTTTAATAAGATTTTTGACATTATAAATTGTGAAAATATGAGCTTCGTAATTAGCATATATGTATGTATATACAGTAAAAAAATATTTTGTCTATTTTCTTTATCAAATATTTTGCTTTTATAAAAACTTACCCGTGTTTACTTTATATCCAAAAAATTGTGTTAATTATAATAAAAGCCAATTTATAAAATGATTTTTAAATTTCTTACATATTCTTACAATTTTTTGTTATTAATTTTAAAAAATTAAATTATATAAATTATTTTAACTTGCAATAGCATGAACTTATTATAGGTTACTGGGCATACAAGCTCCAATGTATATTTTAAACTACTTAGGTCTTATAATTATTTTCAATTAATTTATTTTATTTTCTTATACATAAATTCTCATTTATTTTTTATTACATAGTTAAAAAATTTCTTTTAATTTTATACTAATAAACTATTATTGTCATTAGGTTCTAGTGTTCATTATTATCATAATTTCTTTATTGTCGAAGTTATTGAGACATAAAATTTGAAAGCTTTTGTGATTTAAATAAACTAAAGATTAATTTATTTCTCCTTTTACATCCTTTTTAGTTATTATAAATGCAACAAAACAAAAAAACAAAATGAGTAAAACCCGGAAATAAAAAAAAATTTTTAGCAATTAAGTAAAAAATAAAAAAAAAATCCTTTTTGAACACAATTTCGAAATAGTTAATTAATTTGATTTTCTTTTTGTTTTTTGTTTTTTTATTAAATTTTTTTTGTTTTAATTCGTTTGCACAATATAAGCACAAATATACCACTTTATATTCAAAATAGTTATAAAGATTTAGCTCATTTTGTCACCCTGCAAAATTGTAATAATATATTAAAGATAATCTTGTATCATAATAGTAGATGTCATGACATTCAACGTTATACCGGTAAGATATAATATTGAATGCTATAATGTATATTATTAGAAGGAAATGTTATTTGAACGCCCATCCATACACACATTATCTTAAAATTAACTACACGGTTATCATAACACTACAAAACTTTTAAAAGGAAAAATATGGTAAGCGAACCGCGACTCACTTACAAATCCATATGTAAATTTGTGTATCATCACTAATTGGTAGGAAAAATCATTCAGCCGCAAAGTCGCTCTTTTTGATTATGAGATTTCCATAGATAAAAATTTTAATTATTTAGAAAAAGCTATAATGTGATAAAACTGCTAAAAAACGAATCTAAACGTAAGATCAAATTTATGACAGGCTACATTTTTTTACCAGGTAATTTTTGGCTTCCAAGGGACGATATGCAACACTTAACAACATAAATTGATTGAATTATTTTTCATTTCATATCCTATGATTCAAAATATTTCAACATTTTGACGTAAAAAACATCAGCTCCGGGACCTTGGTTCAATATTCAAAATTTGCGCTCAACGTTTTATAGAAATTATCTAATTATGTTGTTTTAACTGTGAGTTTGTATTGATGCAAGATTGAAGATATTATTTTAAAAAATTTAAAACTGCAACAAAATTTTTATTACAATATGACCTTAACACCCCATATTAAATAATGCAGGCAACATTTTTAAGGCACCAAATTATTTGTTTTATATAGACTTTAAAAAACATAAGCTTTCAATTTCTTAAATTTTATAAGTTCTTGAAATTAAACAATTACAATAATTCACACACATGTATGTTTAAACCTGACATACTTTAAGTAACTTTTTTTTTCTTCAACCTTCCCTTTACGAAACTGTATTAGGTAATAATTTCGATTTATTCCAGTGATATCTTAAGATTCAATGGGTGTTTGTTTTTATGTCCACTACGATGAGAATAGGATTTAAGGTGCTAACTGATAACTAAAAGTACATTTAGCTATGGTGAAAAAAGAGATATTTTTAATATGCCGGCAAAAACCTTGTTTTGCCTGTTGTTCTGAACGAGTTTTTGAAACTCAAATTTAAAAAGAATAACTTTAAATTATTAAATTTAAGTAATAAAGGTAAGAAGAAATTAAAATTTAAAAATTAATCTGGTAATATAGAATAAAATCTAAATTATTTTAGATTATATATTTTTACCTTTATGGAACTCTTCTACGATTTTTTCTAAAAAAAACTTTAGCCAGGAAGACTTTTATATTTATAGATCCCAGTTACATAAAAATTAATTTTAATTTTTCAAAATATTTATTTAAAAAATTAAAATTTTCAACCAAAAACTAAAAGTATATAACATGTATTATGACATTATATACGTCTTGGATACATATCCGTATGTATATAACTAATATAAGTATTATATACTGTATATTTATGTTTATATTAAAAATGCAAACGGTAAAGCGCTTATCTACATAAATATTATATTTTCAGAGCATTCTGTGGGATATTTAAATAAATATATTATATATACAGATACATATACATATATATATTTTACATATTGTGCATACATATCATATATATATTTATATATTGTGCATAAATAGGTACATAACTATATATAATTATATACCCACATATAAACGACGTACATATTTTAAAGTAACCATTTTTTTGGGAGTAAAAACTTTTTTTTTGTAGGTATTGCAAGAACGGTATAAAAAACAATAATTTTTTCATCCATCAATACATACGCATAATAATATATTAGTATTCAAGCATAAAAACATTTCTACAGACATATTTATGAATACAAAAGTATATACTACTTCTTGAACAGGAGAAAAACAAAAACAAAAAAATATGGAAAGAAAAATTATATCATAAGTATATAGAGTAACCATTTCAAATTGAAATTAGAGTTACCGGATGACTAAAAATTTTTGGTGAGTTCAAATGATTTTTACTTATATAATTTTAAATAATTGCAATATAATAATTTTTTTTATTCATTTATTAAAACTGCTTGAGAATTTTATAAAAGAAAGTTAAAGTGTATATTCATAAAATTATCAAAAGTTTATAATATTTATAGGCTTCTTGGCTATTTTATCTCAGAGCAGATTGAGATCTATGAGTAAAAAACGATCCATGTCCCATTCTTACAATCAAAACATGCTCAAGTTGCATTCTATGCGCTGCTGAAAAAAATTCAAATTTCATAGAATTCAAATTAGACAGTTTTTGACAACTAAACATATGATGTATTTCTATAAGCAAAATAAGCATTGGAAAACTTTAATTTTGCAAACTAGTTAATTTTTAAGAAAAATACTTCTCAAACTAAAGTAAAAGTTTATTTTGCTTTAAAAATCACTTAAGAATTTAAATTTGAAAACTATATCGACATCTCTGACAACTATATATGAATCTGTAAGTTTTTTATCTAAAAAATTTATTGTGTTTCGAGCTCAGCTGTCCTTAATTTCTCAGCTAAAAAAACAATCAATAACTCCCTTTTGTTTACAACGCAATTATTTTGAAACGAGACGAGATAATCCTTTTGTATAAAATTAAAGACTTTCGATATAAAAAATTGATGAAAGAATAAAGAATCTAAAAATTCTCTAATCGCAGAATTGAAATTATTCTGCAAAGGCTACATTATCCTGATTATTAATTAACTTGAAAAAATTAATATAAAATAATTAAATGATTTCCTTTTGCTTTTTATTTTATTTTCTATTGTCTTATATTAAAAAATTATATGCTCACTTCATATTACGAAAATGATTAAAAAAGTACGACCGTTCGCATCTTAAAATCATAAAAAGAGTTCGACAACAAACTATAAGACAAACAGATTCAAAAAAAAAAAGTTTTCTTTCAAATTAATTTTTTTATCTTATTCTTGCTTTTCATTTTTATACATGTATCCCTGTACTATTTCTATATATATATGTAACTAACACATACACATATAGCACAGGGTATAAAAGTATCCAATTTGACCATGCATTCAAATTTACATTGTATATATAATGGAAAGAATAGGTATGTGATAGGGTATAAGGTATTTTTTACCCAAAAAAAAGGAATAATCTTTTCTAAATATTTAGAACCCTTTTTTTTCCTATACCTTAAAAGTTTGAAATATCAAGAGTACTGAAAATGTTCCTCATTTTTTTTACCTTGTCTTATTTCTTTTAAGGATTTTTCCGAATTTATTTTTTTTTTAAAATAGCGACACTAAAATAATTTTTTTTTAAATTTGCACTGAAACACACTTAATTATTAATTTTTTTTATATAAATTTAATTTCAAATTAAATTTATTGTGTTAGTATGAGAAGTATGTACACTGAAAATCTTGTTTTTCAAAAAAAAAAGATGTCTAAAGATATGCAATAGTTATTTGTTTTATAATATTTTTGTATGTAAATTCCTAAAATTAGAAAAAAAATTAGAAGAGCTTCAAAAATTGGAAGACTCTCAAAAATGTTGCATACCATTCAGGCTGATATTTTTTTTTGTTCTTTTATAAATTTTTAACCAACGATTTTTAAAGTTCATTGGTACTTGCTATTCCTATATAATGTGAACAAATGTTAATATGTATGTGCACTTTATATGAATATTTTAATTTTAAAAGGAACGAAAATGTTTTCCAAAAAAATTAAAATTTTTTGTACGAAAGATTTTTTGAAAAGGAAAAAAATTAAATGAAATTTAAATGAGATAAAGGAAAATTGAGATTTATAATTTTTTCAAACACAACAAATACAAAAAATGTCCTTATTTCCGAAAAAGAAATATCGAATGAATAGAAAAATTATTTAATTGTATTTACATAAATAAAATTTTTCAAAAAAATTTTCATTAAATGAAAATTAATTACACTTTTGTTTCAAAGTCTTGTTTTTTTTTCTTTTTTTTTCAAATAATTAAATTTTCCATTTTCATTTTTTTCTGCTTTTTGTTTTTTTCTTTTTATTATTTTTTACTATTATAAACTTTTTTTTTTTATTTTCTTTATTTTTTTTTTTTGTTTTAAGGAAAGAAAGCGTAGCACGTGGTGGCTACGTCTACGACAACCGCCTACGCACTGCAACTGAATTTACAAATTTTACTGGTGTTATATTTTGCCTGGAAAATCACTATATTTGCTTAAAGTTCACCATTATTTTTTATACATATCGATATACATAAACATATACATGCGCATATATATACATAAATATATGTAAACATATATTATATAAATTTTTAAATATATATATATATATATATATATATATATATATATATAGGTTTGCGTGTCGCGTTTTTTATATATGAGTAAAACATTATAGATTATTCACCGTCGTACACCGTATATATTTTATATGTTGTTACTGTTGTTATTGTACTGCTGTTGCTACTGTTGTTATTGTACTCATATTATACCCTTAGTATAATAAAAAGGTATATACTTTATATATCGCATGATGTTTTTGTTATTATTGTATAATTTCTCAATGTTGAGAACCGAAATTTCGGGATTTTTTTATTTTTGGTTCCTTTCTCAATTTGTTTTTTAAAATTTTTTCTTTTGTTTTTTTTTGGTTGTATTGTAAATCTTTTATTTTTTTAATGGTTTTTTTAGTTTACTAAGTTTTACACGCGGAGGTGAAAAATAATAATTTTAAATGTTTGTACAATATATAGAAGCGGGACATCTACACGA